ATAGATTTATTTGGGGAGAATTGACTTTTTTTTTTTAAGATTTTATTATTTATTTGCAAGCGAGAGAGAGAGAGAGATCGAGCGCACAAGCAGGGGGAGCAGTAGGCAGAGGGAGAAGCAGGCACCTCGCCAAGCAAGAAGCTGGATGCGGGACTCGATCCCAGGACCCTGGGATCATGACCTGAGCTGAAGGCAGATGCTTAACAACCGAGCCACCCAGGTGTCCCGAGAATTGACATTTTTATGATACTGAGTTCTCCTATTTATGAACACTGTTTTTCCATAGGTCTTCTTGATGTCCTTCAATAAAGTTTTATCATTTTGTCCCCAGGGTCTTGGACCGCACTCTGATGACAACTGTTGCTGCATGTATGGTATGTAGAATTATGTCCCCTTTTTTGTTCTTAATATTTCTTTTTCCATCTCTTTTCTGCCCACCCCCCATTGGACTTGCCAGATGTTTGTGTGTTTTATTAGCAATGTTGAGATTATGTTTTGTTTCTTTAAATCAAGTATTCTTTATTTTCCTCCATTTTTTCTTGAATCACTTTTCTTAGTCTGTGTCTAATTTCTTATTGAATGTTTAGATCATTTATTTCAGTCTCTCTTGTGCTAAAATAAGGGCACTAAGAAGGCACATTTTTCCTTAGGTAGCCTGTTTCCATTTCTGTGTTTTTCTTGGAGGGGGTACTTTTTATTATTTTTTTTAAAGATTTTCTTTCTTTATTTGAGAGACAGCATGCATGAGTGGGGGGAAGGGCAGAGGGAGAGGGAGAAGCAGAATCCCTGCTGAGCAAGGAGCCTGACTTGGGGCTCCATTCCAGGACCCTGAGATCATGACCTGAGCCGAAGGCAGACACTTCACCGACTGAGCCACCCAGGCTCCCCTGAGGTGGTACTTTTTTTTTTTTTTTTTTTGAGGTGGTACTTTTTTATCATATATTTCCAGCATAACAACAGTGGTCAGAGAATGTTTTGCTAAATGTTATTAGTCTTTGGAATTTGTTGAAACTTTCGTTGTTGGCATGGTTTGTGGTGTTTTCTAATAGTTTTGAATATATATCTGGAAAAATGTGTATTCTCTGTTTCAAGTAACTATTCTCTACTTGTTCCACTTGTTTCTGAGGGAAGTGTGTTGAAATCTCTCATTCCAGGGGAGGTTTGCCAGTTGCTCTTTGCTACTTCACTTAGCATTGGCTTTCTACATTCTGAGTTTCTTGGTAGATACACACTTGTCTGTAATTATAGCTTCTGGGTGGATTTTCTTTTTATTAATATGTATCATTAATTTTTGTGCCTATTAATGATTTTTACTTTCTGTTCTGTTTTGATTGGTATACATACTGCTAAACTACACATAGCAGTGCATATTAAGCTCAGAAGCATCACGATGAAGGGAAGAAGCCAGAGGAGTGTAGACAGCATAGTTGCTTTGATAAAGTTCACCAGAAGCACAGCTGGTGGAAGTCAGGATGGAGGCTCACCTTTGGGAGTTCAGGAAGGAAGTAGAGCCTGCAGGGGCAGGAGGGCTGACGTGGGTGCTGGTTCTATGGGAATGGGCCCTTTGTGACTGCCCCTTGAGCTGTGTGTTCAGGATTTGTCGACTCTTCTGCATAAATGTCATATTTCAATAAAGAGTGTTAAAGGTAAAGAAAATGTAGGGGCGCCTGGGTGGCTCAGTCGGTTAAGCCTCTGCCTTCAGCTCAAGTCGTGATCCTGGGGTCCTGAGATTGAGCCCCACGTCTGGCTTCCTGCTTAGCGGGGAGTCTGCTTCTCTCTCCCTCTGCCCCTCCCCCTGCTCTTGCATGCATGTGCTCTCTCTCTCTGTCTCTTAAATGAATAAATTACATCTTAAAAAAAAAAAAGAAAAGGTATATAGCTACTATTTATTTTAATTAGCGTTTGTGTGGTCTAGCTTATATTTAGCCTTTCTGTGTTACTTTATTTTAGGTTATGCAGGTGCATTTTGTGTGTATCTATCAGAGAATCTTGTGCTTCTAGTAGGTGAGTTTAATCCTTTTATTTCTTACCATTACTCAGCTACTGAACTTGTTTCTATAGTGTTGTATATTTTACCATCTGTACTTTGACTTTGTTCTGTACCTTCTGTTGATTTTTTTTTTTTTCCTTCTCTTTCTCCTCAACACTTAACAAGTTGTCTTTATTCTTTCATATAAAGTGAATGAGTATCGCCATCTTCCTCCTGAATGAGACAGCTTGGTGTGTCAGGTTGAGGGGAACAGATGGCCTGAAGAGCTGTGCACCTGTGCCTGCAGTGGGGCAGAGTAGGGCAGGGCAGCCCCAGGCAGGGAGCGGAGTCTGCCCGGGAGACCAGCTGTGCCCCGATGGGGATGAGTGTGGCCCTGAAGTTGCCCATAGGAGGGGCCAGCCTGGGCCTCCATGTGTTCCTCTCTCTTCCCTCAGCACCAGTGTGACTCACTGCTGACTCCTCCCCTGGGAAGCCCAGGGTACCAGGTGATGGCGGCTTTGCACCTGTCTGCCCTGCCCCAGGTGAGCATCCATTTTCCCTAGAGGTCTGAAATCTCCACACAGGGCTTCCCTGCCTGCTCTGCCTTAGTAGACACTGTCAGGCATCTTGGTCTGGGGTATTGAGCAGAGGACGGGTGACCCTGGGACTCCCCCAGCCTCCTGGAGTTACTGGTTTCATGACCAGGGGCTCAGGCCACTCCCCTGGGCCGTACTGGGGGATCGTGCCTGTAGTCACCCTTGTGCTACTACTCCTGGTATGTTCTGCTGCTCCCGCCCCCAGGGCCCACCCTGAGCCACACCTGGGCCTGCAGCAGCCCCTGTCATTCCAGGCTGAGGTGACCTTCGAGGACGTGGCCGTGCTATTCTCCCGGGAGGAGTGGGGCCGTCTGGGCCCTGCTCAGAGGGGCCTCTACAGGGACGTGATGCTGGAGACCTACAGGAATCTGGTCTCCCTGGGTAAGGCCCCTCACTAGGATGCTGGTCAGGGAACAGCCCTGGGGACTGATGGTTCAGCAGGGGCTGGGCTGGGGGCTTCACCCTCTGGTCCTAGGCAGTCCTGGTCTATACAGAGGAGGGGCCAAGTGGGGCTGGCTCAGTGATTTTCTCCTCTGAGCTCCCAGATAAGACGGCCTCCCTGCCCCAGGCCCAAGACAGACCCCTCTCCAGAGGGATTGCGTACCTCCAGGTGGAGAGAGCCCCCTGGGCTTTTGTTCCCTGTGCTCAGATCTCATCTTCACGACCATCCCCAACCCTCCAGAGTGTCCAGACTTCCCATCACCCCACTTTGCCTGTGGTTCTGCTTCCCACCAGAGTCCCAGATGAGAATCCACTCAGTGCAGCCCTGCATCCTTGGCACCAACCCTAGGCCCCGTTTTCTTCCCAGGAGCTGGACCTGCAGGTCCCAAGCCTGGGGTGATCACACAGTTGGAGCAAGGGGATGAGCCGTGGGTCCTCGATGCACAGGGCGCCAAGGGGAAAGAGCGACTGAGAGTCAGTATCTCAGGTGCGTGAGGGGGGCCACTTCCCTAACAGTTGCTGAATAAGCATTTGTCAGGATCCAAGATGTGTGGTTAATGACTCAGGCATTTAGAACAAGGTATATCAGGAGCAGCATGACAACCCTGGGAGTAGCCTGTGCTGAAGTCCAGGTCACCTCCATCAGCCTGGGTGCCTCAGTGTGGTGATTCTTGAGCTGAATCTTCTAGGAGGGTGAGAGGGGGCATTGTTGGCAGAGGAGAAGAGGGAAGTCTGGACTCCCAGGACCCCATGGAGCCCTGCCCTTCAGAGCTCATGCCCTGTGAGGAGGGTCAGATGGGGCCATGGTGATAGAGACCATTGCTTCATTCTCCTTTTCTAAATTATCCACTTGACAATTGTAGACCGTTACAAGAAAGAATATCTCATCACCCACATACCAGTGTGTTCTGTCGTGTGCCTGCTATCCCCTTTCTTTTTTTTTTTTTTTTTAATTTTTTTTTTTTAAGAGTTTATTTATTCATGAGAGACAGAGAGAGAGAGAGAGAGGCAGAGGGAGAAGCAGGCTCCCGAGGAGCAGGGAGCCCGATGCGGGACTCAATCCCAGGACCCCGAGATCATGACCTGAGCCGAAGGCAGACGCTTAACCATCTGAGCCACCCAGGCGCCCTGCTATCCCCTTTCTAGTGCTCTCTGTTCTACACCCATATACAAAGGTCACTTCTTTTTTTTTTTTTAAAGATTTATTTATTTATTTATTTATTTATTTGACAGAGAGAGACACAGTGAGAGAGGGAACACAAGCAGGGGGAGTGGGAGAGGGAGAAGCAGGAGAGGGAGAAGCAGGCTCCCCGCAGAGCAGGGAGCCCGACGCGGGGCTCGATCCCAGGACCCTGGGATCATGACCTGAGCCGAAGGCAGATGCTTAACGACTGAGCCACCCGGGCGCCCCACGAAGGTCACTTCTTGACAGGAATGCAGCGATCCCATGTGTACTGCTGTCATCTCCTCATCTCCTTTTTCACTCAGTTAGTGTCCATTTTTATACACATGAGTCTCAGTCACCACTTTTGCTGGAAGTGCCAGTGGGAAGGGTGCTGTCTGGTTTCATTGCTATGGACAACTCCAATAAGCATTATTTTGCACGTCTTGATAATGTCCTAAGAAGCATCTACTGGTTAAAGGACTTGAATTTCTCTTTTGTAAATTTGTTTATTCAGATATCAATACTTAAAGAACCAGGATAAATCCTAAGTTTATAACTCAGTGAGTTTTTATAAAAACCATCTTCCAAATCAAAGTGCAGAACATTTCTAGTTCCCTGGGAACCCACTGGGCCTCCTCTGTCATTTCCCACTGCTCCTCACGGGGTCCTTCTCTCTGACTTCTGGAGGCCACTCTGCCTCTTAGCTCTGTGTCTGGTCTCATTTGGGGCATCTGAATGTTGTGAGGGCTTGCCATGTTGTGCAAAGTATGTTTTATTCCATTGCCATACAGTGTTCTATCATATGAATATACCACAAATTATTTTCTATTCTTGTTAATACTTGGTTGTCCCCATTTTGGGATTGTTGTGACTGTTTCTCTTCCTCACAGAGAATGCATTTCTGATGGTGTGTTTCTGCAAGTGGAGTTGATGTGTGAATGTCTAGGCAAGAAGTAAGGAATGGAGGCTTGAGGGTATCAGGAAGCATTCTGTATGGCATCTTGAGTTTAAGGGGCTGGTGGCTAACTGGGTTGCCTCTCAGGCCTCTGAGAAAAGCCCAAAGAATGGGTTCAGCCTGCTAGGGAGAGCTGAGGGTCACGGTGTGCCCTTCTGTCCATGGTTGGCATAACGTTGGCCCTCTGCTGTCCTGAGGAGGCAACTGATTTTCCTACCATGGATTTTAGGGTGGATTAGCTGTTGTTAGGTGGCCTTAGGCTCACTTTTTTGTCTGTCAGATGTCCTCCGTGATTTTCAGGGCCCCTCTGGTCTCTATGGTGGTACAAAGCTTCTGTCTTCTTTCCTTTTCTAGTGAGGACTGGCATTCTACAGTCCCACTTAGGCAGAAGGCAGGCAGGAAGAATTAGTCAGGCCTGGGTTGAAATACTTGCACCGCTGCAAGATTGCAGCCTTGGGTGAGGTCTTTAAGCCTCTGAGCTGCAGGCTCTCATCTCTGTAAGGCGTTGTGACTTTGGAGATGATGGAATTGGTACTGTACAGGTAGTCAGCAGCATCTCCATATTTTCCTTCTCAGGTCAGAACAGGTGGTCCTAAGATGTTGTGTTCATTGTTCCAGGTCATGGGACCAGGACTGAGTACAAGGAGTTGTCTTCAAGGGAGATGCTTGATGGGGAAGAACTGGATCAACTCCAGAGGGCTGTTCCCCAGGGACCTGATCCTGGAGAGACCCATGCATGTGTCTGGGAGCCAGAGGAGAGCCTGGACAAGCTTGTGGAGCAGAGAGGCCTGAGGCCAGTCACACTGACCACTGATAGTGTCCAGGGGTCTGGGGGAAGCCTCAGGTTTCGGTCAAGCCCTGTCTCTGATCAGAGACCTCACAAATGCGATATATGTGAACAAAGTTTCGAACAGAGATCATACCTTAATAACCATAAGCGAGTACACAGGTCAAAAAAGACAAATATAGTCCATGATTCTGGGGAATTCTTCAGTGCAAATTTAGTTGTTAAAGACGATCAGAAAATTCCTCTTGGGAAAAAATTGCATTATTGTGGTTACTGTGGGAAAGCCTTCAGGTACAGTGCTAACCTTGTCAAACACCAGCGGCTTCATAGTGAAGAGAAGCCCTACAAGTGTGACGAGTGTGGGAAAGCCTTCAGCCAGAGCTGTGAGTTCATCAATCACCGAAGGATGCACTCAGGGGAGATCCCCTACCGATGCGGTGAGTGCGGGAAGACATTCAATCAGAGGCCCAACCTCATGAAACATCAGAGGATTCACACCGGGGAGAAGCCCTATAAGTGTGGTGATTGTGGGAAACACTTCAGTGCCTATTCGTCCCTTATTTATCACCAGAGAATCCACACTGGAGAGAAACCCTATAAGTGCAACGACTGTGGGAAAGCCTTCAGTGACGGCTCAATCCTTATCCGACATCGTCGGACCCACACTGGGGAGAAACCATTTGAGTGTAAAGAATGTGGCAAAGGCTTTACCCAAAGTTCTAACCTTATCCAACATCAAAGAATTCACACTGGGGAGAAACCCTATAAATGTAATGAATGTGAGAAAGCCTTCATCCAAAAAACCAAACTTGTTGAACATCAGAGAAGCCACACTGGAGAGAAGCCCTATGAATGTAATGACTGTGGCAAAGTCTTCAGCCAGAGCACACACCTTATCCAGCATCAGAGGATCCACACAGGAGAGAAGCCGTACAAGTGTAGTGAGTGTGGGAAAGCCTTCCACAACAGTTCCAGACTCATCCACCACCAAAGGTCGCACCATGGAGAGAAGCCTTACAAATGCAGCGATTGCAAGAAAGCCTTTAGCCAGGGTACTTATCTCATCCAGCACCGGAGGATCCACACTGGAGAGAAGCCCTACAAGTGTAGCAAGTGTGGGAAGGCCTTCCGGCACAGTTCCAACATGTGCCAGCATCAGAGGATTCACCTCCGGGAAGACTTCTCGAGGTGACCGTGGAGAAGGGCCCATGAGTTCCGCTGTGCAGTTCCTCCTTATGACCTATCCCACCCCTTTATTTATTGTCCACACAGTGTTGTTACAGATGAAGGGCATTTCTAATTAAAAACAAACAAACAAAACTCTTTTCTTAAACCAAAAGCAGTGCATGTTCATTTTGGAGAAATTGAGAGAGGTAAGCAAAAAGTAGTTCTCCCCCACTTAGAAAAAGAATCCATCACTGCTGATTTAATACATGCTTCCTTTCACACATAGTTAAGAGCATTTTAAAAAGAGAATACTGTGCTTGTCATTGCAGGACGTAGGCTCTTTTGGCTTTGCTATTTCCTCAATCCTAGAAAACTCACACTGGAAAGAATTCTACATATTTACATATCTTTACATATTGTACATTTAAAAAATTAAGTCATACTTTTCTGTGTGTCTTTATAATAGAGTTGTTAATTGCCATTTTTATTGTGGTAAAACATACATAACAAAATTTACTATTTTAACCATTTTTAGGTGTATAGTTCAGTGGCATTAAATACATTTACAGTGTTATATAACCATCACCACTCTTTTATTATCTGAAACAGAAAATCTGTACCCATTAAACAATAACTCTCCTTTTCCCCTTTGTCTCACATCCGCTGACAATCGCTGTTCTATTTTCTGTCTGTGAATTTGCCTATTCTAGTTTTCTCATAAGAGGAATAATACAATATTTGCCCTTTATAGCTGACTTATTTCACTTTGCATAATGTTCTCAAGGTTCATCCATTTTGTAGCCTGTATCAGAATGTCATTCTTTTTTATGGCTGAAAGAAATGACCTTGTTTGTAGATACCATGTTTTGTTTATCCACTCATCTGTTGATGGACACTTGGGTGTTTCTGCTTTTTGGCTGTTGTGCATGCTGCTGCTGTGAGTGGGTGTGCAAGTAGCTTTTTGGGGTGGTGGGAGAGTGCATGAGCAGTGGTTGGGGACCTAGTGGCAGAGGGAGAGGGAGAGAGAGAATCTTAAGCAGGCTCCACATCCAGCACAGAGTCCGATGTGGGGCTCAATCTCACGACCCCAGGATCATGATCTGAGCTGAAATCAACAGTTGGGTGTTTAACCAACTGAGCCACCCAGGCGTCCCTTGGATCCTTACTTCCAGTACTTCTGGGTGTACTTCTGGGAGTGAAATTGCTGGGTCATATGGTAACTCTATGTTTAACTTTTTGAGGAACAGCCAAACTTTTCCACAGTGGCTGTACCATTTTACATCCCCACCAGCAATGAATAGAGGGTTCTAATTTCCTTGCCAACACTTGTTATTTCCCATTTTAAAAAAAATAATGTCATTTTAATGGGTGTGAAGTGGTATCTCATTGTGGTTTTGGTTTGCATTTCCCTGATGACTAATGATGTTGAACAGCTTTTCAGGCACTTATTGACCATCTGTATGTCTTCTTCAGAAAAATGTCTGTCCAGATCCTTTGCCCATTTTTGAATTGGGTTCTTTGTTTTTTTTTTTAAGTGTTGAGGTATAGGAGTTCTTTGTATATTTTGCATAGTAATCTCTTATCAGATACACGATTTGCAAATATTTGCTCTCATTCTGTGAATTCTTTCTACTCTCTCGTTTGTGTCCTTTGATGCACAAAAGGCTATTTTAAGCTAATTTTTATATATTGTATAAGGTAAGGGTCCAACTTCTTTTGCATCCAATTTTCCCTACAACATTTTTTGAAAAGACTGTTCTCCCCATTGAATAGTATAGGCATACCTCAAAGATATTGTGTGTTCAGTTTCAGATCACTGTGATAACAGCAGATATCTCAGTAAAGCAAAGTTATGTTTACATTACAGTGTACTAAGTGTGCAATAGCATTATGTCTAAGAAAACTGTATAAACCTTAATTTAAACACTTTATTTCTAAAAAATGCTATCATCTGAGCTTTCAGCAAGTCATAATCGCTGATCACAGATTCCCATAACAAATATAATAATGAAAAAGTTTGAAGTATTCAGAGTATTACCAAAATGTGACAGACACAAAGTGAATAAAAGCTGGTGGAAAAATAGTGCCAATAGACTTGCTCACCATGGGATTACCACACATCTTCACTATGTAAGAAACACAATAAAGCAAAGCACAGTAAAAAGAGGTATGCCTGTATTGGCTCAGGCTGCCAAACAAACAAACAAACAAAAAACCACAGACCTGGGGGCTTAAAAAACAAATTTATCAAAAGAAACAAATCTGTCTCTCATAGTTCTGAAAACTAAGTCCAAGATCAAGGTGTAGGCTGATTCAGCCCTAGTGAGGGTTCTCTTCCTGGCTGAAATACAGCTGCCTTCTCACTGAGTCATCACATGGTAAGATCTCAGATGTCTCTAACTTTTATAAGGGCACTAGCTCTATCAGATTAGGGCCCCACCTTTATGATCTCATTTAACCTTTATCAACAGTTGACAGGCCCTATCTCCAAATACAGTCACATTGGGTTAGAGTTTCAACATAATGAATGGTGGGGTGTGTGTGTGTGTGTTTGGGGCGGGGGGGGACTATAAACAGTTCATAAATGGTCTTGGCACCCTTGTCTAAAATCAATTGACCATATATGTAGGGGTTTCTTTTTGGGTTCTATTCTATTCATGTATATGCCTATCCTTATGTCACCACCATACTGTCACTTATTGTAGTTTTATAGGAAGTTTAGAAATCAGGAAGGGAGTCCTTCAACTTTGTACTTACTCAAGATTATTTTGGCTATTTGGGATCCCTATCTGGGATTCCATATGAATTTTAGGATGGGATTTTCTGTTTCTGCAAAATCACAGCTTTTGATAGGGATTGTATTGGATCTATAGATCAGTTACGGTGGTATTGTCATATTAATCTTATCAAGTCTTCATGAGTATGGGATGTATGTTCATTTGTTTATATGTTCTTTAATAGTGATCATTTCTGGTTTTCAGTGTTCAAGTTCTTTGCCTCCTTGGTTAAATTTATTCCTAAGTATTTTATTTACTGTAATGCTATTGTGAATGGAATTGTTTTCTTAATTTCTTTCTTTTTATTTTTTTGGATTATTTATTTTTAATGCATAGAAATGCAACTAATTTTTATGTCTTGATTTTGTATACTGCTAGTTTGCTGAGTTACTTTGTTCCTACGATTTTGTTTTGCTTGTTTTTTGTTTTGTTTTGTTTTTTGGTGTGTGCACTCTTTAGGGTTTCCTCATGTAAGATCATGTCATCTGTGAACAGAGATAGTTTTACTTCTTTTCCAACTTGGGTGCCTTGTATTTATTTTCCTTGCCTAATTGCTTTGGCTAGAATTCCTAGTACTTTGTTGAATAGACGTAGCAAAAGTGAGCATCCTTTACTTGTTCCTGATCTTAAAGCCTTCAGTCTTTACCATTATGTATTACATTAGGTTTCTCTATATAATTTTCATTATGCTGAGGAAGTTTCCTTTTATTTCTAGTTTATTGAGTGCTTTTATCAAGAAACCATGAAGTTGTTTTGTTTTGCTTTGTTTTAAAAGATTTTATTTATTTGTCAGAGAAAAAGAGCACAAGCAGGGGGAGCAGCAGGCAGAGGGAGAAGCAGCCTCCCTGCTGAGCAAGGAGCCCGATGCAGGACTCAATCCTAGGACCCTGGGATCATGACCTGAGCCCAAGGCAGACGCTTCACCAACTGAGCCACCCAGGCGTCCTAAGAAACCAAAGTTTTGTCAAAAGCTTTTTTTGTATCACTTGAAAAGATCAAATGGGTTTTTCTCTTCATTCTTTGTTGGGAGGTTTTTGGTAATTGATTTAGTCTTCTTACTAGTTATTAATCTATTCAGATTTTCTCCTTAATGAGTCTCTGGTAGATTGTGTGTTTTTAGGAATTTGTCCATTTCATCAAGGTTATCTAATTTGTTGGCATACAGTTCATAGTATTCTCATATAATCCTTTTTATTTCTGTAAGGCTGGTCACAATGGCCCCACATTCATTTCTGGTTTTTAATAATTTGAATTTTCTCTACTTATTTAGCCTAAAAGTTTGTCAATATTGTTGATCTTTTCAATGAGCTAACTTGAAGTTTTGTTGATTTTCTCTATATTTTCTAGCTCATTATTTCATCTCTGATCTTTACTATTAATCTTCTATCTATTATCTTGTGTTTAGATTGCTTTTTTTCCTGGTTTATTTTTTCATTCTCTTTCTTCCTTTTTTTTTTTTTTTTTTTTGAGAGAGTGATCGTGTGTGTGTGTGGTGGTGGGGAGGGACAGAGGGAGAGGGAGAGAGGAATCTTAAGCAGACTCCACACTCGGTGTGGAGCCCAACATGGGGCTTGATCTTACAACCCTGAGATCATTACCTGAGCCAAAATCAAGAGTTGGATGCTTAACCAACTGAGCCACTCAGGCACTCTTTTCTTTAGAGTATACAGTTAGGTTATTGATTGAGAACTTTTAAAGATTAATTAATTATTATTTTTTTAAAATAGGCTCCCCATCCAGCATGGAGCCAAGTGTAGGAGCTTGAACTCAGGACCTTGAGATCAAGACCTGAGCTGAGATCAAGAGTTGGACACTTAGCTGACTGAGCCACCCAGGTGCCCTGAGAAATTTTTTTTTAATGTATGCTTTTATTTATTATTTTTTAAAGATTTTATTTATTTGAGAGCAAGCAAGAGCGAGAGAGTTCACAGATGGAGAGGAAGAGGGAGAAGCAGACTCATCACTGAGCAGAGAGCCCAAAGTGGGACTCGATCCTAGGACATGAGTCGAAGGCAGATGCTTAGCCAACTGAGTCACCCAGGCATCCCTTAATGTATGCTTTTAAAGCTATAGATTTCCTGGGGCGCCTGAGTGGCTCAGTCATTAAGTGTCTGCCTTCGGCTCAGGTCATGATCCCAGGGTCCCGGGATCGAGCCCCACACTGGGCTCCCTGCTCGGCGGGAAGCCTGCTTCTCCCTCTCCCACTCCCTCTGCTTGTGTTCCTGCTCTTGCTGTCTCTCTCTTTGTCAAATAAATAAATAAAATCTTAAAAAAAATAAAGCTATGGATTTCCTTCTCTGCACTGTTTTCACAACATCCTATAAGCTTTGGTGTGTTGTGTTTTTGTTTTCATTTGTCACTGGGTATTTTCTACATTCCCTTGTAATTT